TCGCGCACTGGCCTCTTCGCGGACAATTTCTTTCTTTCTTGGATCGTCGAGGAGAGTTTTAACAAGTAGGTTTCAGGACAAATTTTCAGAAGGCATATTGGGTTTTGAATTAGACACTACACAGAGATTTCGACTTCATTTTGCGAGGACTTTATGATCTGAGTTCAGGTTTCCTATAGGCGCAAGCTCCTATAGTTAATTATCTCTCTCGATAACGAGATAGAACTTTCGATTAAGGCTAGTCATCAAGCATATACCTAGAGATATGTGACATCTGGTGTATAATAGCACCATGATTAGGTATTTGAAAGTTTAACATTTAAAATTAGAAATTTGCCACCTTGCACTTAAAACGGATGGTGGGGGGAATGCTGATGAATCCAATCAAGATCTGATGGTTCTGTCGTCCAAGGCCATCGTGGTCTACTTAGTCAAAGGAGGTTGTTAACTCAATGTGACAAAAGGATCCTTGTCAGCAACCATGGGTTGCTTCATCCAAGGGTATCTTGTAAACCTAGGGTAAGTATTTGTCTAAGGGGATGGATTTGAGTCCATCTTAGCTAACAGAGGGCTTTGTGCCCTATCAATTATATTCTATTGATTTACATCTCAAGGATTTGACGTCATTGGGGAGCATACATGCTTTAACCATAACCATAATTTAGCGGTGTTATTTAGCGGCAAAACCACCCAATTAAGAGTGTCTTGGTTATAACTATTTGCCTGTGGTGTTTTTTGGTAGCGAAACCTACGGTGTAATGCCATTTGGCGGCGAAACCACTGGTTAGAGGACACGCGCCACGTCCTTACTGGCAAAAGACTGTTTGAGAATGAATCATGGTGATATTCTCAACCACACATTAGCTCTTTATGGGCTAGAGTAATTTTCAGACTTGTCTACCTCGACAATTGTTGAGGAAAGTAGATAGATTTTGCTTTAAGTGTTTAATGATTTATTTTAATTTTACATATTTTGAATTTTTATGATTTTTGGGTCTTGAAATTTTATGGGAATTTGGGAGCATTTTATATGTTTGTGGTCCCCTCCGGTAGAAATTTTCTGTCAACACGATCATTATCAGGTTATCTATTGGCAATTTCATTTTGTTGGTTAAACATTGTCAACTTATTGACAGAGGATTGGGTTTGTTGTCAGCTTTATGTCTTTTCTGGTGAATTTTTTTTATTATAGACCTTGAAGGCCTAATATGAATATATAAAATAAATACCCTGGTTAACGCCAAAATCGTATATTTGTTTGATAGTTCGGATCGTGTCAACTCCTATTGACCCAAATGATTGGGTTCTTCGTAGGCTATATGCCTTTATTAGGTAATTTTTTGTTGTAGACCTTGAAAGCCTAATATGAAATATATAACAAATATCTCGGTCGACGCCACGACTGTATATTTGTTCGACTGTTTGAACCGTGTTGACTCCTATTGACCCACATAGAAGGATCATATCTGAACTAGATTTCACTTATTAACACGCGCAGCATTCTCAGACATCACGTGTGCGCATACTACACGCTCACCAAGGCCCATGAGGGTGTATACTTTTGTATGCGTTTCACAAGATATATTTATGTGGCGATGTTATATATGCAGTGTATCATATCTGCATGTATACACATAGGATGCATTTTGTATTTGCGCACTGCTTAGTTATAATGTATGATATTTTACGTATTACATGGTCAATTAATGCAGTAGTATATGATATGCATGTAGGTGCCCTTTTACATTTGCACATTTGTTTGTATAATGCATTTACGTGATGATATGGTACTTTCTTGTAGTGTATGAAATATTTGCATGATATGTATGTATAATACACGCGTACATTGATTGTTGTGTATGCATGACATATCTACACGATAATTTAGTGTTTGCATGGCATATTTGTATGTTGCAATATGTGTATGCAAAATGTGCTTTATATTTTGCAATGTGTACATACATGATGTGAGGGCATCAGTACGCATTTCAATGCACGGGGTACTTCTATAATGTGCAAATATGCTTGATGAAGCAGATGGTTCTCATTTTAGAGAATGCATGTTTTCTATCCACTTGTATGAATGTTACGGATCTGGTGGCATGGCATAATGATATTGGTTATTTGCCGCTTTATGCAGGTGGACTGTTGTGCACTAACTAGTCTCCTGCAAGCTTGCAAATGTTTGTGTTCGTCATAAATTTTCCATACTTTCTTATAAGTGGCCTGTTATATGCATGAAGGATTTCCCAATAGAACTCATAGGTATTTGTATTTGTATTTGTCGTAGTCCCGCATTTGTTATGCTTTCCTTTCTTACACTTCCTGTTGATATTTGCGGGCAAGCCAATGTCATGTTGACTATTGGCCGGGTCACATTCCTCAACAATCCCTTCATGGATGCTGGCTGGTGAACCGATACATTCTCATGTATGTTGTTTTTCATTACTTGCAGGTGGGCTACTGCGCATATCCTAAGTGCACATACTCAGGCTGTCACATCTGCCGCAAAGATTCTATGCGCATTTGTAGGCCACTTGTTCATGATAAAATTCCTATAGTAGTTCGTAGGAGTTCACATTTGTTGCAAATACTAGGCCTTTATTCGTGAGCATCGTGTCACATGCATGTATGTGTTTTATAGGGGATCTCACCACATTTACGACATATCTACTACTATTGTCCCATCAATAAACCGCATGAGCCTTTTATTTGCATATGTTCACATCTACTACAGTTCTTCTATACTCGCTCGTAGATTGCATGTTATGTGTACTTGTATTCACAGGGGGCCTATCGCGCTTGCAGCATATCTATCATTGTTGCTTACAGGCAAGTTGCCACCTTTGTCTACACTGATTGCAAGGATAACGCAGCATCCACTACATGTTGTTTGCATATGTTTGTAAGTGGAGTTATTGTTCGCAAGCTAGTTGGTGTCATGTCAACGTCTCTTACAACTTCCTTGTACATGCTCGTGAGGAAATCGCTACACTTGCACCGTGCCTAAAGTTGTCATTCGTAGGCAACTCGATGCATTGGTTTGCAAGTTAACTGAGGTTAATTGTGGACGGGTTGCATTCCTTCCACGTACACTCTTCTTTTAGCAAGCTAGTGTATCCATCAAGAATCCTTTTGTCAGTGCTCATCAGGTTCTTTTCACAAGCTTGCGAGTTGACTGTTATGAACATTAGAAGTTCTATGTTGCTTGTGTGTGAGATGGAGGAGTTTTCCTTGTCCACTACGATTCTTTATAGTTGCTCATTGATGTTTTGCGCTTCAGTCAATATGGTAACTTCTAGATATTCATTAGGAATTTTACTTTGTCTGATTGTAAGCAAGTCGTTACATTTTTTCACATGATCGAATGATCCTTGCTTGTGAGCAGCTCGCATTTGGAGTTCCTTGTCCATCACAAACTCTTGCGTGTTTGCTTATATTTAACTTGCTCAAATTATTATTTCGATTTAAGTATTTAGGTCAAGTTACCTATTGTGCAAGTTCAGTTGCCTGTTAATTGTTCAAGTCTTGTTCCTTGTAGTTCAAATAAGGTTCCCTGTCATTGTTTAAGTCAGGTCCTTTGCACTTAGTTCAAATTCAAGTCCTTTGTATGCGGTGAATTTCAGTAGCCTCCCAGACTCTCCCATGTTTAAGAGAAATTTCATGAGTCTAGGCCTTCCCACCACTCAAAGAAATGCGTGTATAGTAGATGCCAGACGACACCGCGATCATGATCTTCAATTCCACCACGCTAAGAAAGGCGTGTATAGGTCTTCAAAGTACCTATTTGAGATGCATAGTTATTTCCCCGTTGGCACTGAGGCACGCACGGGTACTTAGAAGATGTCCTTGTCATGCTAAGAAAAGCGCATATAGGGCCTACTCGTCTCATTGCAAGTGTCGCACTAGGTTCCCTCCTACCACACTACGAAAAGCATTTAAAGTTGGTTTCCCGGCGTGCCACGAATGCCGAGGAAGGGATTTGGAACATTAAACCTGAGTGATGTATGATGGCGACTGTGTCAGTGCGACGACAGTGGTGATGATCGCGCCATAAGCAGCTAGGGACCTGAAGCTAAGGGGTTGGACAACGAAGTGGGGGTCACACACGGGAGCAGAGGGACTTGGCTGGACTGCTTTCACATCAGAATCGAGAGGGAGGGGTTAGAGTTTGGTTGTTGTAAGCGTGAATGAGGGAGCTCTCGCCTGGGTAGAGATCGGACAAAGTGACGTTTAGACTTGTGGTTGGAAGGTCTGATCCATGTATATGGTGGGTTTCGGCATAGTGGCAGGGGAATTGCATGCGGCTGACGGGTAGGGATTGTAAGAACCGGTTAGTCCGGTTCAACTAAACCGGACCATTTCATTTAAACAAGTGAGCCGGGCCACACGGTCGAGCGATTTTATTTTAGTGGCTCTTTCTTATGATTTGAAGATATTTTGTATATTAAAATGCGAAAGTTTTTATTTCCTACTATCCGATCTTCGTTCCCGCCTCGCTTATGCGAGTTAACCGGGCCGGGTCGTGACAAGGACAATGTGTTACTTTGATAGAGGAAAACTTACACATTTAAAAGGAATACACAACAACTATCCAGGATAATATTTTACTGCAGTCTGTTAAAAGGAATTAAGAAGGCTATATAAGATAGTGGAAATAAATCCTCATGCTCCATTCATCCTATACATGCGTTAGAAGTCAACAACATTACAGTGTTGCAATGCATGGAAAGAAGAAACTAGACAAAACAGCTTCTATTGAAGAAATTTTAAAGTTGTGATCAAAACAGTAACCAAAAAAGATTAAAAAAATCCGAGTCAACTAAAAGAAATGAAAAGATTAGACGAGGATCTTCTCACAAGACCAAGAATATGTAAAATAAGCATTTCAGTATTGCAGCTGACTACTAACCATTGAAAACCTTCTCAAATAATAAACAAATAAAACAAATTGCAGGCACCAATGAGAAGTACAGACAGTAAGAACAAAGAAAACTCACCTAGTAAGCGGCTGAGAATGAACATCTGGATTGTCATTGTAGGCTTCTGACATTGGACTGCGATCATCTAGTGAGAAATCTATCAAAACCAATCCGTTTCCTTGGGTCACCCCTTCAGCATAGAGTATATCCTTTTCAGAGGGTTCGTATTCATTGCTTGATACCTCAATTGCCTACAAAATATAATATTCTCAGTAATTTATGCAATCTGTTGACTTATATGAAAACTAAATTATCAGGAGAAGCAGAATTTCCCATTCAAAAGGAGAATTAGGCATTATTTAATAAAGAAACTATGCGAAAGTCAACAAACCCTTCAGGAAAAGAGAAGTAAGAAATCATAGTTTTGACGACCGCAAATGCTCCACTATGTAACTAGAACAGAAAGTCAAAATCATTAGCCTACATACACGACATTGCGGAAGTCCAGTTCAGTATGCATCACAATCTAAAATCATCCAATTATCATTTATTTTGTAAAACTGTCTTCCTGAAGCATTTGCAGCAACGAATTACAAAAAAGGGGGTCCATGTGGTCAATTCAATTGAAACCAATAAAGAAAACAAACAATGGATGCAATCTTGCGCAAATGTTGTTTGGAATGCATTGATTAAGGCAAAAATAACTCAAACGCCACTCGTTTCACAAAACAAACTGCACTAATGTGTCTGGAATGCTAAAATTATCAAAGAAACACATCTCGCAATCAATTCGATCAATCTCAACTAAAATGTCAAACAATGGACATGTCGTCATACAATTTGAGTTTGAAAAACCTTGATGACATTCAAAATCACTCAAATGATGCTCATTAGAAAAATGGATTGTAGAGACAATCTAAAATGTCAAAATTACAAATATAGAATACATGCAATGTTTGGGTTGTCACATGTGGAAAATTTTTAAGAAAATCATACAAAATTCAAAATGCACAATGAAAATTTTTACAATGTGAAATCAATGCACTTATTAATTGTCCTTTTTTTATTTTTAAAAAGTTGCACATTTGCAAAATGGATTGCGCCAAGGCATTAAAACATCAAAATTGTATGGAAATGATACCCACATTGCTTGCGTTGCCAAATGAAAAAAAAAATTGAAAAACATTACCCCGTGAGTCAACTGCATGAAATTTGAAATGCACATTAATAATTTTTGCGAAAAGAAATCAATACACTTATTTTTAATTTTTTTTAACTAAATTAAATATCTTTATAAATATAATCACCACATATCCCCATATCCGAACAAAATTAGGATGGCTGTGTGATGTCCCAACCATGTAGCCTAACAAAAAAAAAATCTAAAATCTAAACCTAGCCCACGTCTTTCACACCCTCATTTCTAGTCACTTTCTAATTTTTTTCAGGGCTTTGCACGACATATCCCTATTTTCCCAACCAAGCCCATGAAATACATGACCTCATGCGGCTCTCTTTCTCAACTCACACTCGCATTCTCCCCTCTTCTTACTGATACCACTCGTCCATCTCCTCCCTGCACTAGCCTGAAATCCTCCACGACAATGAAGTGAGAAGGTTGCAATGGGAGCACGTTTTAGAAGCCACGATGGGGACTCTCAAGAAGGCATTGGGGAGAAGAGGGCATGTGATGGCATTTTCGCTTCAAACTAAAGCTACTAACACAAGCATGAAAGTCGTGACCAAGGCTCATGTAAGAAGGCATTGACGGGTCCAACCACGTTTTAAGGCAAAAAGAAGTTTGTAGATTTAAATTAGACTGGGCTCAAACAGAAATCGTTGACATTCTCTTCAATGGTAGTTGAAATCTTTTCATCGGCGATTTTCTTAAATTTTCATCATCGTCAATGATCAAATTGACTACCACTCCCTCTGCAAACTCCAGCCACCTTCACTTCACCTATTGACTTCTTGTTCATTGGATGCCAAAGCCTTACTATAAGACTTCCTAAAGTGTTGAGCGCTAACTTTCCTCCTTCAAGTGATCTTGACGCCATTTCTTCCGACATCTAAAACTTCGACAACCATCAACACTTAATCCAAAATTTACCAAGCATCTTGACCTCCAACCACAACCTCACTTATTGCTTCGTCGTCGGCGCCAACATTCAAGCCTAACAAACAATCTCTCCATATATATATAACCATTTTTAAAAAAAAAAGATTCAACTCAAGAAAAAAAGAAAGACAACACAAAAAAGAAAAGAAGGACGAGTATAAAAGAAACGTAGAGAAGAAGAAAATAGAAAAAAAAAAAGAGCTTTGAAGTAAAAAAAAGGGAAGAAAACAAGAAAATAAGGAGTGTGTTTCATCTTGCTAATTTCATTATAGTACAGCAACATAAGTATTCATGCGTGTTGTTCAATGTGGAAGAGAATTCGAACTTAAAGTACTTATGTGCATTATTCCAAATGAGCCAGGAAGTCTTGCATATTCCTTATAAGATAATGAAGGCCTACACATGTTTTCATAAGCATAATTGATATGAAGTCCATGAAACAGACAATGCACGTTTTTTTAAAGGTGACGGGAATGCCTAGATTCCCGGTAAATTTCTCATACACTAGGGTGCTACTAAAAGTCTATAAAAATATAGAATGAACAAACTCACAGGAAAGGATTGAATGGATCTTTTGTTGCACAAATGCAACTAAATATGAAAATGATAAATACAAACTCGAAATGTGAACGATATTAACACTTAAAATGCCACATATGTTGCAATAAACAAATATAATATTTTAATTGAAATATGATTAATAAGATATTTGTAATGAGCACAGCGATTTGCTTATGGGTGTGAATAATCTCCTCACTATCTTTAGAATTCCCTGAACAAAAAGAGCTCAAGAACTTTGTCAAATTAGTGCAGAATATAAAAATGACCTATGGGTGCTCCCATTTATAGGAGAAGTTTTGATTCCATGTGGACCCACCATACTAAAATACATTCATATAAGAGAAAATTTTGACATTTTAAAAATGGTAACAAGATCCCAACACAACTACATTGTAAAATCTGTAACACATACATGCAAGCGAAAATAAGGCATTCTTTAAAATTTAAAAATTAAACTTTGCACGCATTTCAATGACAAACAATCATATAAATAATTAAAATCTAGATATTTTAAATAATGCATGCATCATAAAATAGCTTTCAAATTCAAGTACAACATCTCATGAAACATGCAACCACCTCGAGAAGTGTGCAACTGCTCAAAGAAATATATAATTATGTCAAGAAGTGTGTAATTATTTAGAGAAGTGAGCAAATGCTCGAAGAAGAATACAACTACCTCGAAAATGTGTAATTACTCTGAGAAGCATGGATATGCCCCATAAAGCATGCAATTGCTATGATAAGCATGCAACTGCCTCGATAAATGTATAATTACTTTGAGAACTATGCCAATACTAAAAGGCATCACTATAAATTCTTAACTTTCATATATGTAACTTTTAAAAGCACATTAAATCAATAAGAATAACACGCCATCATGTGTTCTGATAAATGAACTGTCTAAATTTAAAAAATACAGTGCTACACAAGGGTAAAATAAAATGAACTTAAATTCTACACACCTCAAGAAGCATGCAATCATTTCTAAAAGATCATAAACTCTCTTGTAAAATAAAAAAAATGTTTAAAGTCTACACAAAAACATGCTAAAAATATGAACTTAAAGTTTAAGAACGCAATACAGAATGAAAATAAGTTGAACTGAATTCAACCAGCTCTAAAATTTGTCTGACTAAAAAAATTTTTGTAAACAATCTTTTCAAATAAAACTATCAAAATTAATACACTCTCGAGTGAACCATCCCAAGAATGAAGTTGACAAGACTTCCACCTCACCATAAATTACTGCAACACCAATTAAAACAGAATTTTTAAACCAAGCAAGTTCACAATTAAATACTCGATCTCGATATTCATAATGATATTATCATACAATTGAATAAGGCCTTCAAAGCCTTTAAAAAACTAAATCAATTTTCAAAATGTAATTGTAGGTATTAATCACAAATTCAATTCTCTGCCAGCAAGCTAGCAGAGTTTGACGAAGTTGAAAAGAATGAAAAAAAAGTGTTCAAAACCTCGATAATGTCCATGTTGATTATGAATCTTAATTGGAGAAAACTCTATTTCTAAAATGCCCCCAAACCTCAAAGCAAATTATTATGGGGCCTTGGTTTATATATATATATATATAGATTTGTGATTAATACCTACAATTACATTTTGAATTGAGTTTGTAAATCTAAGAGAATTAAAAAAAATAAAAATAATCAAGCAAACTATGTCACCCTAAGCTTAAAGCAATAACCATCTAAACCTCACAATTGTCTACCGAGAGTGATAAATTCAAAGATAAACCAAAGCTTACAAAATGCCAATGCCATGTTAAGTGGATTGCTATATTCACTCTCAAAAGATCTAACGCTAGTAAGGACATGGTATATATTTTCTAACAAGTGGTTTTACCGACAAATTGCACCACTATTCAACAATTATGACCAGCGCCCTCTTATAGGGTGGTTTTGCTGCAAAATGCGACCAAGAAAAATTTATAAAATATGGCATTGATAGAATAGCATTAATGAGAGAAACAAATGGATGGCATCTGAAAAAGTCCAAGGAAGACCAATTTATCATTTATAAGACAATGACAACTGTTATTCATGCTAAAAGCCATGGTTATAGAAATTTGTACAACATCACTTCCTAATTATTCTACCATATCATAACATTGTGGATGTTTTAGATGCTCATCATACATAGCTTTTCTTGCTTTCTGAAGAGAAGGGAATCTTAAGGATCTTACTTTGAACCAATCTTTGGGGCTTGCCCAACGTTATTCTTAATATAAAAGGCATAATAAGCTAAATAATGTCACCACAAGTCAAATTTATTTTCATATAAACTCTGGCCACTTGACAAATCATTGAGACAGAAGATGTAATAATCCAATATTTAATGTTGATGGTGAAATAAAAACAACTTTTCGTGAAAATGCATGCGAGTAAAAATTGAGTCAAGAGAAAAGGAGAAAGGTCAAGATACCCGACTCAGGAAGTATTCTGCAACATCGGGGAGAAAATGAAGCTCATTCCTTCTCTTGTATGTTTCTTGAATGGCAGAATCCCTCCACATTTCTTCGACCAACGGGGCATACTCCCGTGTCGCAGCAGGAAAAAAAGCATCTAAATCACCCGTAGCAATGATGTCTAAAAGCCAGTCAGAAAACTGCTTCAATTTACCATTTACAGAATAAGTATGCAGGCCATGTCCACCTTCATCACTTCTACCTCCACCTAGGGTGATCAGAGCAATTTTTTAGCTATAATATATGAATAACCAGAAACATGTTTATCACAGCAAGAAAGTAATATATTATGCATGAATAGGTCAAAGTTGAATAAAACAAAAGTAACTTCTTCTATTTTATAGATAGTGAGTTTCAACAAATTCCAGGCTTCTCCATCACCTTTATAGAAAAAAGATTCTAGTTTCTAAGGTCTTCAAACCATCATGTAGGTAATCAAAAAATAGATCATCAGTTAACCACACGCTAGCAAATTTCCTCGTTTATCCATTACATGATCATTCTTCAAATTACAAGCAAGGCAATATTCTGTCACAATTAAAAAGAGTACAGACAAGATAAGTACACACAATAGTGTCTACAAGGAAAAAAAAAACAATGCAATATTCAGTACAAATTAACAAGATCACTTAACATAAGGGCACAAAAAATGCACCTACATGAATTTTAAAAAAAAAAGTACATAGCTCATCTTGGCCTGTTGGTTGAGAGCTTAGGCTTCCAATTAAGAAGTCTTGGGTTCGAGTATTTGTGTATGCATTGTGTATGAGTTTGACTTAAATGGCCTAAATGTCCCAAAAAAGAAAAAAGAATAAAAACAGTAAGGCAATAATCTCTCTCTCTCTCTCTCACACACACACACAAAACACATATATGAGTAAACACAAACCTATAACATGTATTTGCGTATGCATCATATTAGATACACATATGCACACCTTAATCCACACACACAACGGCGTATGCACTGAATCTGGATAAAAACACTTCACAAATTTTCAAGTACACAGGCATCATCAATGGTTCAGAAGAAGTTCAATTAGAAACAATAACAGAATAATCCAAGGAAGCTAAAATTAGGAAATGGAAGCATCCTAGGTAACAAACATAAGATTAAATTATTTTTCAAAATGGATAAGTAATTTCATATATATGAGAAAATTCCTTGCCTATACTTCTATCCAAGAAGTACTTGTGGCTCATAGTTTGTATCGAATTCATAGTTGGCACAAGAAAGCCTACATAATCACAAGACCTCATAAGATAATCAATGCTTGAGGGATGGTTTAATTTTCAAGATTACTTATCCGAGAGCATTCACTATAGCTATTGGCACTCATTTCCATAATGCAGAGCTTATTTAGAATTGCATTCCAGAATAGAGTATGATTTATCTTTAAAAATGTAATAACATATATACATCGAAAAATAATTTCCTTAATTGAAGTTTAACGTACTATGAAGAAACCTATCCAGAAACAATGAAGCATTTGATAAATAATGAGTCAAATACTTCTTTACACAAAATTAAATAATTCAATTAAATTCAGCTAAAAAAAGTAAACTTTTAGTACCAAAAACCATAAGTAGTATTACCTTCAATGTGGTGTTGATCAGGCGAACCACTTTCTTTTAATTTAGATAAAGCCTCTTCCTCAAAGCATTCTCTTCCCTCAAGCAAAATGCTTAGGTATTTGTACATGTTGCTTTGAATCATTAACTTGATCCTTTCTAGTTCTTCTGCGGTAAATTTACTTCCATACAAAAACTTTGCCTGTTAACAGAAACAGAGTCAAATGAAGACTATAAACAAAGCTCATAAGACGCATATAGCACATCCATGAAGAATATGGAAGAAAAAAAAATTTAAATCAAGACAAAATGAACTAGCTAAGTTATCAACAGATAGTCAACTACATTGTAAGAGGGAACCATGCATTTCCTAGTCCACAATTACTTGCAATAAGAACCATGAGTAAGAGATTATTCTGGAATTAAAACGCCTAGCAACAGATATATAAATGTGTTGTTAACATCACTGATAAATTGCACGGCACTTCAACCAATGTAAAATAAAAATACTAGCTTCAGCTTGAATTTAACATGTTTTTTTCTGATTATATAAAAAGAAACAAGAACGAGTCAAACTACCATTGAAAGTATCCGATAAGGGCTAACTTTACCATGAACTAAAGTGTCTTGAATATCTAACACTTATTTTTAACTCCAGTTACTTCTACCCAATAGAATCTCAATATACGTTCTTCACTCACTAATCATCATCATTAAAACATTATCCCAACTTTTTGAATTCTGCTTCTTGAATATCTAACACTTTTTGGCAATATATCATGATGATGTTTTCATTGTTAAGTCATCTTCGTCAATATCATTAGCATTATCCCAAAATATTTTTTGTAAGTTTTATTTTCCAAGAATTCCTGTTGAGTGCCACATAAGGTACTAGGTTTAACTTGCACAAATCATTTTGGACAACTTCATTCCTTGTTATATTTGATCTATCCATTTTCCTTCATGTCCTTTGGCATTAATTCTATCCAACCATCTTATTGGTCCATCTACTTTTCGTTATTTAAGTTGAAAACAAACAAGTCTAAGTCAATTTAACCATTTTTAAAGTATATTTTTTAGTTTTACAAGAAATCCATCATAATATTCTCATTTGACCAAAACTCAATTGGGCTATTATTAACTTCATTAAGATATAGCCAACCAACTGCAACTTCATAAAATCTTATTTTTGTCTCCATAATATTATCTTATTAAATAGTATTCCTAACACAATTTTTTATTTTAACTACCCAAATATAAAACTAAATTTATCTCCATTCATATCCTTATTTTTTTTATGCTAGAGCAAGATTTATCTTATAAAAATATTGACTAATGATTATCCATTTCACATTCAGTAAAATGGCATATCATATAACAAATCTTTTTTCTAGTAACTTTAAAGCCTCATTTTTTGAAGCTCATAGGAGAATTTGAAAAAAAAAATACTAGAACTACTAGACAAAGGTTCTACATGTAAAAACCATTGCTCCGTGGATTAAATCAAACTTGGATTTAACTTGAAGGACCCAAATGCATCGAAGAGATGAAGGTTCCACCTGGCCAACATAGAACCTAGTTTCAGATAGGTTGATTCAATACCCTCAGCACAAGAAAAGAAAAATAGGTCAAGCTACACAGTATTCTATTATATTGGGGATGAGGGAGTAAAACATCGCGATAAAACAAACAAGAAAGTAAAAGCACCAGAAAGTAAAGGGCACCAGGATTTAAAATGGAAAATTCAAAGTAGAGAAAAACCAGGGTGCCACGCCACACCAAGAAATCCACAATGAAAATTGGGAGAAATAAGTTCGTATCTCTCTTCTCTCTCAATCTATCCTTGCTTCTCTTCTCACATGCACCGTTCTCTATGTCTTACTCACAAAAATACAAAAGAAAGTCAACTTAAATAACCCCAAGGGATGCAACCCTTAAAAAAAATGAGAGAAAACCGTCTGGTAAGTCTCGCAGTGTTGTTGCGCCAGTTTAAGGAACTGCAGAGCTCAAACCTCTATCTTGATCCATTGTGGCGCCATATCTAGACCGTTGCAGCGCTTCGCTCTTTATTGTTCAGCACCGAGGCAGTGGGGAACACAGCACCGAGGACACTCGGGTACATAGCATCAGGGTGTTTACACCCATACCCAAACAAGGGGTAAACCCCCTGCACCCCCATGGGCTCTAAAAAATTCGCACCCGGCCTCCCCATCGCTGTCAGGGGATTTTAACAGATTAGGTTCCGGGGGAAATTTTAGGCAGGCATATTGGGTTTGTAGATAAGACACTACCTAGAGATTTCGCCCTCATTTTGGGAGGACTTTATGATCTGAGTTCTGGTTTCCTATAGGCGCAAGCCCCATAGTTACATGTGAAAGCACATTCTTCACATTAGGTATTGTTCATCTCCTTCTCTCAACTATGTGCTAGAGTACGCCTCACTCTTCGATCTCCCTATTCCACCGCTTGACCTCTTGATGCTCAACTACACATGCAATTGGATCGTTATCCTCCCTTGCACGCCCCTATCTCTCAGGCTCTCCTTCTCTCTCCATTTTATCTTCAATAGAGAGCTTCTTACTCCATCCCATTTGCTCCCCACATAAATCTCTAGCCTCATCTAGCTCAAGACCATTGAGGCAAAATTGCTCGCATCCCCTCTACTTCAAAATCACGCATCATTTGCTCCATTTTAGTTTCTATTTTTTAAGTGAAAGCACATCCTAATACCCTCCTTTTGTTATAACCACCAATAGCGCTAAGAAAACGTCAATGTGAATGTGAGAAAACAAAAAAAGATGACATGCAAGCTTAAGTTTAAACATCTCCATCATGAAAGCTGCAGGGGAGTGCCTCATATCCCTTAACAAAGCATTAATTGTGTCATGCTCCACTAACACATTTGCCAGAGCACGCCTCACAACCTTCTGGCACAAGAAAAAAAAAACAAATTATCAAATTGTGATTAGTGCATATATAATCATCCATGGCCATCTCCAATGCTTTGTAATACTTTCACGAGCTTCTCCATAAGACAGAGCAATAACTCACCACCTTTTGAAACATTTGTGAAGATCGAGTAAAACTACAAATATAGGATTCCTCTCTGTCAACATTAACAAACCCTGGACTGAACCTTTAAATCTTCTCCTTGAGATGCACTATCGCTAGAGAACCCTGCTGCTAGTAGATATTCCTTACCATCGTTGGAAAAGACACTAGCTAGGGGTTCTTTATAAGTCTCATAACCTGATCCTGTCAACATTAACATAGATTTTTATCTTTCCCTTTTGATTTAAATTTTAACTTTGTCACGTAATTGAATGTGAGTTTAAAATGATGATTTTTAATGAGAATCAACTGTTCTATTTAAAAAAAAAAAACAATTGCTAGGAGGTGTACAACCACTACTATAGAGAGAAGAGGATGTAAAAAATCAAGTTTTTCCTAATACTCAAAAATTTTGATTTGATTCAAAATCAAATCAAAATCAAACCAAATAAATTGAACTACACCACAGTTCGGTTATCTCTATATACTTGATAGTTTAATTTTCTATATTTTAGATCCAAAACCAATTGGATTTACAAATCCATCTAAACTAGCCGAATGCACACTGCTATGTTGAGCATGAAATCAATAAAGGGAGAAAAATGATGTTGTTGATATAACATTTTTTCCCCAAATTACTACTTGCCAACATCATACTCGTTTCCTTAAGAGAATACGCTATCAAATTTCTATAGTAAGTGGCCCCTACTATGTGCACTCTATCCCATGTTGCTCCAATCATCTACTGCCACTTCGATGAGGGATATGCTTTTCAAATGGAAGTTAATGAGGCTGACTACTTAAAAAATACTCAATTTGTGATGTAGACAAAGGGGGGGTCAACCCTAGTCCAAAATAAATAATATTTTGGCTTCCCTTGAGTCTAGTAGTTTTTCATATTTGAGCTAAACTTTTAGTTCATTTATGAGCTGAACTTTAGTTCATTTATTGAACTAAGGGTTAGCTCATTATGAGCTAACATTTTAGTTCATATTTATCTTTATTTAAAATATAGTTTTATGCTTTTTATACTTGTTTAATGTTTGTCTCTTGGAATTCCAAAAATATGGCTTTTGGGAATCCAGATAGTTGTTTAGTCCTCCCATGTGTGGCTCCTTGAATTCCACCATGGGAAGTTGAATTTTGTGTATGCCTCTTGGGAACTCACGGCTGGCTCCTTCTTCCGTGCGGTTCCTTCGGTTCCCGCGGCTGTGGCTCTCGGTCCGTGCGGTTCCCTTCGTCTCCCGTGGCCGTCTCCTTGGTTCCTGGCTTTGGGTGTAAACCGAGAGCTTGGGGGGAAGTTTTCTATGCTATTTATGTTTATTTTAAGTGTTAAATTAATGTTTGTGTCCTTTTGTATTCCCCTTTCATACCTATAAATATGAGGGGTTATGTAATGTTTTGAATAGTTGAATGAAATTTGTTTTTGGAAAAATCAGTTAACCTGCGGGTTGCTCGGAAAATCCTGCGGGCTCTTTCCAACTTCTTTTCTCATTCCCCTCGAATCCTGCGGGCTCTTTCCACCTTTTCTCGGGCTTTCTAATCTCTTTCTCCGCAAGTGCCCACTCCACCTGTATCCTTCTTCTCAAAGTGCAGCAACTTTAGGGTGTCTGTCGTGTTGTTTGTAAGTCGTCGTTGTAATTTCTTTTGTTTAATTATTTTTGAAAATATAAGAGTTTGTTCTTCCCTAATATTGTATTGTTGTTCGTCCATTTTCTCGTTCTCTTTCTCAAGTTCGTCCGTAGAAGTCCGTCGTGTGTCTCTTTGTGGGCGAGGGGTATAGGCTCCCTATTATTTTTCCCCGCATCAATTTGTCTCAAGGGAAGTATTATTCACAAACAAATAATAATAATAATAATAATAAATCAATCCGGGAGGTGCTGCATATTGTTGGCTGTTTAGAGTTTAAAATAAATGAAGCAAATCAATATCATAAAGCTTTAAACACTCATTCTATCATGCAAGCAATGCGATTAAAGGCTCGTAGGTTAAGCTAACCATTTCAATGAAAACTTGTTCACAAGATAAGTTCATGATAACTAATGAACTACATATGTCATGAGAAAAAGTCTCATATAGCTTTAAAAAAAAAAACTATAATAAGTTAATGAATTCTTGAGATATCCTATTGGTTATGTTTTAAAAATTGCA